GGCGTGAGTCGGGGGGGCAGGTTGGCCAATTGGTCTGGGCGAAACGTGTGGATGTGGGGAAATTGTGTCAGATCCGTGGCCGCTGCCGACCGCCCACGGTGGGGCAAGTCGGGCAGAAAGGTGTGACAAGGGTCGGGTGAGGATGGGAAGGTGAGGCGAACGAGTGGAAAAGCCGAAAGTCATCAAAGAGCCAGAAGGACAAAGTGAACAAGATGAGACTGTTCTGCATCTGTAGGGCAGTGCGGCCTGAGTACACGTGGGGGGAGGAGGTATGACGGAGAGGTGAATTATCGAATGGGGAGATAAAATAGCTATAGGGCCGAGGGAAAATAAAAACTGTGGCACTGTGCATGTATAGGCGTGGGGGGGTGCTGGTGGCCGTAGGCAGACGCGAGCGCAATCTTCGGCCGACTCGTCGGCAGGGCGACAGTGGACCCGGCCTGCATGCCTCCGGTCAGTAGCCCGTGAGCTCGGCGAACGTCTGATCCAGTTCACCGGAGAGCTCTTTGTAGCGGACCTTCTCGGCCAGCAGTTCATCTGTCGGTGGCATTGTGAAAGGGGGATGGGTGGAGAAAGGCGGCATTAGTGGCGTGTCAGCGGCCGACTGCGATCTGACGCAGTGAGGCATGCAAGAGCCGGCGCATCCTCGTCTCAGACAGAACATACAGACTCGGACGAGCGGACGGAAGAAGGGAGGGAGGGAGGGGGGCCATGCTGAAAGTGTGTTTTCTTGCCCCACAGACAGGCCTCAACACACCGCATCACAGGCAATCTAAGTACCGCGTGCAGGCGTGTGTAAGGTGAAACAGGCCGCAAGGAACTTCCGCGATGGCGAGTCTAAGCGACGAATGCAATCTTCTAACTGAAAGGTGGCATGTAGCCATGTCGACAGGATTCGGCAACACTTATTATGATGCAGTGCAGGGCATGTGATGAAGAAGGCTTGAGAACAACACACACTTACAGTCGGCAGACACTAGCAAGACGACTTTCTATAACCAAATCAGTGGCGGTCGTGGAAGAGTGATTTGGAAATGGCATCAGGCACTAGTCCTACTCCTCGCCCGATTCCACTGGGCGAAGGCGGCTTTAACCGCAGAGACTAGTCGATTGAGGTAGTAAGAAATTCTGCTTGGGAGACGCACAATGGAAAGGGCTATCGGTGGTGCAAATATAGACATTTCTCCATTATTCCTTCAATATGAAGGAGAATACAACTCCAGCAAATCACAGGCTACAATGAATGCTCAATTAATATTCTCCCTTCTTCAGCAATCTACATCAAAACCTTTGTTTTGTGTCAATTAGCACCCATCAGAAGAGTGAAATAGAATGCAGACATGAAAGAACAACTGATAATTTCCCGAATGAGACACCAGTGTCGACAATCGCCTAGTGGAGCGCCATAAGATTGCCCGAATAGTCGCATTTATAATATAATACGAGTTAAAATTTGATCAATTTATTTGGCTAGGCATCCTATTTCCTAACCTACTGTCCAGCGTGGAGCTAGAAAAATGGTAAGTTAAGCATGCATATATTGACAAGTTATAGGCAGGCCAATGCGAACTGAGATAAAGATAAGAAAGTAAAACATATTATTTATTGTGTTAGCAATAGGATGATTTTGATGTAAAGCAAGGATCCATTCAAGTACGTATTTTAGCAGGATGAGAAAAGAGAATATTGCAAAGGCGGAGATAGATCATTAAAATGGGAGGAATTTCCTAATTTATAAGAAAACATGAAGGAATGATTGATGTTCCACCATAATTAGAATAAAATCAACAAAGTAATCGTGCAAAATGCAATTTGGGATTCATGCTAAACGAAACATTGAAGCAAAGAGATCTAGATTGACAGCTTCATTCAAATGGAATGGAACTCATTCAGAACGGCGTCCATTTCCTTGCGTAGAATATCGTAAGTGTGGCGCTCCATTTGGAGTCGTTCTAAAATAACGAAAATAATGGAGATAAAGCCAGAAAAGTGACAAAGAAAACATTTTAAGATGAGTGTGACGAAATAAGCAGTCGGCGTAAAAATAGATTTAGCTTTTGAAGCATTATAGACTTAGTTAATAGTAGTTGTTTGACCTCATTTTCGAAACTTGGTATGAGCGAAAGGGAGAACACGAATATTTCAGAATTATATAAACACTTAAGTGAACAGTAAACAATGTCCGAAAGAAATTCAGGTTAGTCAATAAAATTCTCGTCTTAGGAATCGAAATATAATACAGCTTATAAGACCTAAAATACAAAGCTGGATTGAATAAAAACCCACGTAAGCAAAATAGTAAGTACTGATAACCACCTTGAATGTGTTGAATTTCAACCATTTCATTGTAGAATATTAAAACAAGAAGTGTTTCAAGAAATTCTAGTCTATTGCCAAAAGATAGCATAGTTTTAGAACGAAACCTGTCTTTACTAGTCATGTAAATAAAAACTAGTGTACCACTGATACACAAAATAGATTCTCTTTTGAAGCATACTTATGCGCATACGTATACTGAATATCTTTTACTTACTTAGCGTAAGAGAAGATATGTCAACAAAGCGGGCTAAAAAAATAGCTAGCGACAGTGAATAACTAGCTCACCTTTTGTTTTATCCACCTCAAGTTTGCGGCGGGATACTTCTTGCTCATTAATGCTAGCTCGGGCTTCAGCCTAACTTCCACTCGACAACGAAGAGAAAACGACCCAGGCACAGCAGAGTGGAAAGCGGAATCATATCGGACGAATATTCATTTTTCCGGACAAGAGTAGGTCGAAGCAAAATGAAGCAGTCGAAGGTCGCAATAAGAGATCCAAGTATGTAGAATATAGGGTCATGCGAAACAAGGTCGGGATGGAAAAACGAAACGATAGCACAAGACACAAAATTTAGCTGCAAATAAGACTTGCACGACCAAAAAGCTAAATAAAAAGGTCATTCAAATGCCTTAACTACGCCGAAGATGTGATATCTAAGGATACGATTCATGCGCTGTCTAGATAGAGACATGTGCATATAAGGCAGCATGAGCATAATGGCCGTGCACAAGATGCAGCAAGTTCCCCCACCTTCGAGACGATCCACTTCATTCTGGAGTTTGGAGACTTGGCGGTCAGCTTCAGCGGCGCGCTGCTCTGCCTAAAAGGTCGTCATATAAGCATATAGAGATTATCCTCTAAGAATTATCTATAGAAAATATACATGCTACTGAAGAGCATAGAAACCGGCAAGCTGACTGACTAAAAATAGAAGAGCTTGGAGAGCAGCTATGCTAACTGGCCTCACCTCTGCCACCTGCTTCTTCAGCAGAGATATCTTCTGATCACAAAGCTCTTCGCGTTCAACAGCCTTGTCAATAATTTCGAGCACAAGCGGAAGGAGCATGCAGATTCAATAGGAGAGAGATAAATAAAGAGAAGACATGCGTTTGGTAAATGGGGCAGGATAGGCAATATAAAAGCATCAAGTGTTAACTTTAATCATCAGAGCTAATAATAGTTAAAATAGGGAAAAATTAATAGTATTCTCTAAAAGATATAAGGATGAAGATAAATTAAGAGTGCGGAGCGAATGAGGATCGGCAAATTTCTGTTAAGTGGACGAATATG